CCTTTTAAAAGTGAATTAATTTTTTTGGTATATGTGAATAAAAAGAAATTTATGACTTTTTTTTTAATAATATCTTTTAAATTATGAACTGTGCAATTTAATTTGATTTCGACATTTATTTCAATAGCTAAATTTAATTTTTGAGAAATATTGGGTAAATGACATATAAGTGGAGTATAATAACTTAAAATCATAAATATATGTTCAATAATTTCTTCAAATATTTTTGATGGATTTTTAAGGCTTTTTTTAGTATATGACCTGGCTTTAATTAAAGAGTTCTCTAATGTTTTTTTAATTATATCATTCTTGCAACATTTACAACCACCAATGGATTTCAAAATTGAACGTGCAATATAGCCTCCTACATATCCAAATGTGAAGGAATTAAATTTTGATTTTAGTACTGAACTAGGAATATCTAATGAGATGGGTATATTAAATAGATCATCTGCATTTACATTTGTTACTGGACCTTCTAAAAATGATTTTAAATTGTCTAGCACTGTACAATCATCAATTTCACAATTCCCTATAGATTTTACAGAGCTAAAATTGTTGATTAACAATGTCTTAAAAGAAGAAACAAATTGTAAAGCAGTAGGGTTTGTATTGCGGACGCCATGGCTACGAATACTTCCAAAAAAACATTCAATTGAGTCCTGATTAATATTACGAGGAATTAAAAATTGAAATTTATGTACGTTTTTCAATTTGTTCCAGAAATAAGTGAAACCACGGAGTGTTAATATCCAGTTTTTAATGCATGGTGGAGTACTTTGTTTACCATTCACTTTATCGACAAACTTCATAGAGGTGAATACTTTAATTGCATCAGACCAGAAGGAAACATGAGGTGACTTATCTTTGACTGCAGATCTCAATGGCTTTCCATCATTTGATAGAACCGTACTACCATTGACTGAATCGAACACCATATCCATAAATAAAAGAAATTCTGCTGTCCCATGAGCGTTTGATAGTTTACCATCTTGAGCTATAACATATAAATATATAATATTATAAATTATAAATAATTTAACAAATCCAAAAATGTATTTTATGTTTTAATGTACCATATTCTGTCATCAATCTTAATGTTGCTGCGACTCGTTGGCTCATAGTCTGAGCTGCAATTGACACTCTCATTTTTTTAATTTTTTCTGGAATAACGTGAGCTTCAGTAAGTTTGGGAAGAGTTCGAAGGCCACATGTTTCATTCCTCAAATCTAACTCATACAAAGTTTTTATATGATCCCATGAAGCTCTGTGTGTTTGACCATTTTTTGTGAATATGACGTCTTTTGTAAGTAAATTATTTCGTATAGTTTTCAATAGATGAGGGGGGTCAAAAATAGGTATTATTTCTTCATTGTTGATTGTGAATCCAAAATATTTATTTTCGACATCATTTTGTAAATGGTCCCTGTTTGTTTTTTCTTTTAAAGTGTTAATTGCTTTAACATTTGAGGTACCTTGATCACAAACCGTAGTTATGATTTTTAATCCTGTAGTTTGAACTGCAGTAATCACTTCATTGATACATTTAATTAATTGTGGCGTTTTAGTAACACTTTGACAAAAATAATAGGCAATGGGTTGTTTCCATTTGCGATGAATTCCACGCAATAAAAATACCAACACATGGTCACATAATATTCTATTTTTGTCATTTCTTCCAAAATTTTCAAAGCCATATACCATATCATCTTTGATATTGTACGCTGTAGCTGGTGCTATTGCCATTTCATCAAAAACCAATGAACATAATCTGTCGTTAGGTTTTAATCGTGTTGCTTGATGCGTTAAATTTTTAATAATGTGATCATTGATTCCTGCTTCAAACGTAACATGATTAAGCAGGCTGCTTAATGTTTTCTTTGACGGTAGAGCAAATATTGTTGAAAGAAACCGGTAAGCTTTAGGAGAATTTTTAAATATTGAAAGTGATAATATTTTGTCTTGCAATGAAAATCTGCGGCCTCTAGGTTTTACTGTTTGACTTTTAATTTGTGAGTGAAAAAATGCAAGTGTTGTTGTATTTAATTTATTTAGCATATCGTTATTATTAACAGAACAAGATTTTGCAAACTTTTCAGCCAACTGAACTCTATATTTGAATTTATTTTTGTTTTGTAGTAATCTGTCACTTTTCTTTTTAAGTTTCATTGCTTTGAAATACAATTTTTTACAATTTGGCGTAAGTTCTCGATGACTATAAACATCTATATCTTTCAATAACTCATTTCTGTGAGACTTACGGACAACAGGCAATTCTTCAGTAGTTCCATTAGAAGACGATGGTACTCGCATTTCTACTGAGGTATCTAGTACTACGTTGGGTGATGTAAGAGCAGTGACTAGCTCTTTAGTAGATGTACTACTAGCAGACGATGGAACTTGAACTGTGAATATCATAAAAACTTATGTTAGAATATGTTTATTGAATTTACTATTGATTAAATATTTATAAGTTACCAGGTATGTCTTGTAGTACAGGAACATACTCATAATCATCATTTAATACACCAATACCGCTCATTTCAAGATCATCTTAATTTGGGAAATAAAAAAGATTTTAAATATTTATTATTGTATAATAATACTGATACAAGATATTGAAAAAATAAATAGGTACACACCACGGAAATGCATTTCTACTGAGTTATCTTGTACTACGTTGGGTGATGTAAGAGCAGTGACTAGCTCTTTAGTAGATGTACCACTAGCAGACGATGGAACTTGAACTGTGAATATCATAAAAACTTATGTTAGAATATGTTTATTGAATTTACTATTGATTAAATATTTATAAGTTACCAGGTATGTCTTGTAGTACAGGGACATACTCATAATCATCATTTAATACACCAATACCGCTCATTTCAAGATCATCTTAATTTGGGAAATAAAAAGATTTTAAATATTTATTATTGTATATTAATACTGATACAAGATATTGAAAAAATAAATAGGTACACACCACGGAAATGCATTTCTACTGAGTTATCTTGTACTATGTTGGGGGATGTTAGATCAGTGACTAGCTCTTTAGTAGATGTACCACTAGCAGACGATGGAACTTGAACTGTGAATATCATAAAAACTTATGTTAGAATATGTTTATTGAATTTACTATTGATTAAATATTTATAAGTTACCAGGTATGTCTTGTTAAGTGAGTTTTGAACCCAATGCTCTACCTGGACTAAACAATCATGCCACATAGTTTAAACAGTTGTTTAACTTAAGTTTACAAACATAAATACATAAACGTTGTACCAACAATAAAACTATATTTTATTCCAACAATATTATTACAATAATCTAGTTAATACTGAAAACATTACACATACTTATCATAACATACTATTCCGTAATAAACAATATTATTATTGTAATACAATAATCTGGTTAATTTAACAACATTTAGGAACTATACATATAATACACAATGCAATTATAACTAAATAAAGCACATAGTTTAAATAAGTTTACACACATAAATACATTAACTTTGAACCAACAATAACTATATTTTATTTGAACAATATAATTATTACAATAATCTAGTTAATATTGAACACATAACAATTAATGCAATAATCTGGTTAATTTAACACAATTTGGACACAACACATATTATACCTACACATAATACTATTATAAAAAAAATAAAGACAGTTCAATTATTTCAATTAGTTTTTTTTTAGAAAATAAGTTAGGTATTACTTTTTTTAAATAAATAATTTCAGTCAAGTATTGAGTCCTATGCAGGCTCTACCTGCACTAAACAATCATGCGACATAGTTTAAACAAGTTTACAGACATATATATTATGATGATTATTAATATTACTTTTCGGCAAATATAAAGTGGGTAGTGAACCCTTTTTTAGTTTTTTTGTCCCTGGGCTCTCACAACATTTGTCAAAATGCTTGTGACAAACCGCATAACGGCGTCGAATTACAGATTTATTTAATTCATAAAGTTTTGGGTTGTTACAACGCTCAACCCAAATTATGAAATCGCTGTCCGTTTGAGGGAACACATGTTTTCTATCGGTACTTTTACAATTTAAAACGCAACATTTTGAAGAAGGCATTTTTAATAATTGTAGAACACTGACAATACAAATTGAAAAGTAGAATAAGTAGAATTCAAATTTCACGTTAAGTTGAAAGTTCGTTAAAATTAAACAAAAATGTTAAGACGTGACACGTGTAGATAATAGATATTCTGATATCATTATAATCAATGATAATACTGAAAAGTATACAGCGCTACCGGAGGTACGATTTTGAACTAATAGTTTATACAGAACCATACCTACAGCTATAGAGTTCGTCCCCCCTGGTCGGGCGGCTGCCAACGCTCTCTCCGTCCGTAACCGCGAAACGACAAGCACGACGCCGCATACGAACACGCCGCCGCTTTTACCACTGGCAAATATATAAACTGTTTACTCACATCTGACTTACAATAATATACCGTCTACTCGTAAAACCAACCCGAGTGTATTTATTTCATTCCCCCTGTTTATGTTGGCCACATCACTTGAAACCTACGCGCGCCACAATAGTAACATTTCAATAACAACACATAATATAATATTTTGTAATAACAGTAAACTTTTTTAATTATTTTTTTTTCTATCACTTGAAATCATATTTTTTTTTATTCTATCGGATTCTCTTATATCTGCCTTGAGCATACGTTTAGGGTATAATGGATCGACAATTTCTGGGAGTAAACATTCTCCGTAAAATCTAAAATAAAAATAATAATTTCGGTAAAAGAAATAATTATGGATTAAAAATTAAAATATTTTATGATAAAGCAACAAACGTTTTTAATTTGTGGACCATTTTATTTTCCCAAAATGAATTGTAATATTCAATTATTTCAATATTCATCCAGTTTGGAGTGTATATCACAAAGTAGCATATCTGTCTTCGAGATATATGCAACTGTCCCATTATTTGAAAGTAATATGCATGTTATAGTTTTAGCTTAATTGATCCATCGATTATTTTACAATACTGTAGCTGTACATTTAAAACAAAATACAATTATTTAATATTTAAATACAAATTGACTTAAGTAGGTTTATACATTTAATCTTAAATATTTATACAATATAATATACATACAAGTTTATTTTTCACGGCATCTATTGCATTTAATGTATCCTTGGCAGAAAAGGGACATTTAATTTCCAAAATGGCAATGTCTTCTATGAGACCATCTAAACATTAAATTCAAATATTAACTTCTATAAATACTAAATACCTAATACTGTTAGGTATACCTACATGTAAACTTATGTGTTAGCTTTTTCGAGATGAATTAATTATAATGGTACTAAATAGCAAAATATTAATTACCTGGACTCGCAGCTAAATATGGGATTATTGGATCTATTAGTAAACCGCACGTTTCAAATTTTTTATCAATATTTTTTTCTATTTCCTTACGAGCTATAGCCTCCATGTCTCGCCCATATTGTAAACTTTTCGCCTGCGCTTCACTTGCATATAATAAATCATAAACCGTATTTTTACAACTGGTGGTACATCTCATTTTGCATATTTGACCAAAACGAGAAGCAGTTAGTCGGATCCTACGCTCTTTAAACCACGTTTGACTATTGCTCTGATCCCGTGTATTAAATTCTATATCTGTTTTATTTGCAGTTTCTAATGACATAAGACATTTTTTTTGAGTTTTTAAAAAAATTTCTGGTAACAAATCATTGACCAACGGTTCCGCCAACCCATAATCTTCATCAGGTCCATTAACTGAATTACGAATATGATTTCTGCGTTCTGGAAATAGTCGTCGTCTTCTCGTGGTGTTAAAAAGTTTTCGACTATGATTCTTCAAATATTTTTTCCCAAATTTTCCTATAATATTTAAAATTTTATATTAAACTTATAAAATCGTTTTTAATATAAAATTCGATATTATAGATTCTCGGCGAATTGGTGGATGTATTGATTTTACGATGATATTAATTTTAGAATCTTTATAATTTTTTTATTTCAAAGATTTATAATTTTTGAGATTATGATAAATGTTGTCAAAATTCTAATTCTAATTGCTTATAAAGAAAAACTGTCCCTACGTATTTTTAATATTTTTCAACTGCTATTGTAGCAATATATCAGTAGCTTAATATTAAATTTTAACACTTTTTGGCCCACCAAATTTTTTTTATTAATATTAATAGAAAGAAACTAAGAAAATTGAAATTTGAATTTGTCCGTAAAAATCTCAAAACGAATTAAAATATTTTTTGTTTTAAATAAGTCAAAAATTTTGAAAATGTTATGGTTCGTAGAAATATGTTGAAAAATAGGGGGTAACGTTATAATATAATCATGATTAATTGTATCTTATTCTCGTAAGAGGTTTTGTTTTAAATAATCTAATAAAGTATAATATATATATTGTATTTGTATTTTATTACCTGGACTGTGGTTGTTGGTAATTTTTTTGTGGATTTTCCGTAAAAATTGTTTTGAATTAAATGCCACAACTGCTGCTTCAATTCGAGTGTTATAGTTTCCTCGGCTAGAAAAGTTTATTCTTTTGCCACCAATATGTTTATTTATTACAGAGTTAAACTGTTCGCATATATTATTTGTTTTGTTTTCTAGTAAACTGGAGGATTTACTAATGAAACGCGATACACAATTTTGAATCTCTGACATTATCCCACTACTTATGGCCTCTGGAACTAGATTTAGTTCGTTTTTTTTTCACCCGGTTGACAAAAGTAACTGGCGCAATTTAAATGTTGACCCAACCGGTGAAAAGGAGCATTGGCTAAATCCTTTTGAATTTCTGAAATTAAAATTTTTAAGTTTTATAAGAACAATTGTTAAAATTTTTAATAAAAATAAAATGTATATAACCATGTCCTATACCTTTTATTTTTTGTAGTTTCGTTAGTTTACTATCTTTTATCCAATGTTTTACAGATTTTGTAATATCAGAACGAAATCGAATTATATTTGTAATAATAAATTTTCGAACACGAAGCGGATATTTTGTAACTTTGGACAATGTATTAAGTTTACTAGCGTAATTTCTAAGCAAGTGATTTGTACATTCAATTTTTTCGATAAAAAAGTTTGGTCCATATGGTTGTATTTCTTGAAGTCGTTTCATAACGCTGCTGTCCCCATCTCCTATAAATAATGTAAATATATGCTTGATATATTAAGGTTTAAAAACATATATCATAATAAAATTAATTGTTCTTATAAATTATAATTATTCGCTTACCAATAAGTTTATTAAATTTTAGTCCATGTAATTCTATACTTTTTGAAAATCCTTCTATAACACCATCTGCTTCCATACTTGTAGATGCTTTTTTCCAATTCAAAAAGCATTGATGTTCAGGTGCAATTTCTTTCTTTATATTTGATTTTTGACATATAACACAGTATTTGTTTCTAATTCCAATAAATAAAACCTTTTTTGTTTTATATCCGATTATTGTTGCCATAAACATATTATTATGTTTATTACTGAGTTATACCTTATATACAAATAATATAAGATATTTATATGATAATAAAAATTAAATTGAATTTTAAGCCTCAAACATACAGATTCAGTAATCATTAATTATGATTATTAACTGTGTTTAGAATTTAGTAAATAAACTAACTACTCCAGATGATGCATTATAATTCGTTTTGTAACTTCGTTTAGACCATTGTCCATCAGCCACTACCGTACACATCGGAATACCATCAGTGTCGACATTACCACATTTCAAAGCAAGTTCTTTTTCTTCCTCGCCGGCTTTCCTCATCTCTTCCCATGCACTATCCGAAATAACTGGCTAAAGTAGACTTTATTTTTATATAACTACTACATGATAATGATGGTATTTCAAGAAATGAAGAAAATTCTGACAATTGGGTATATCCAATACCTATAAACGACAAAATATTAATATTAAAATATATATACATTTATAATAGGTAGATACCTACATAAGTATATAATGCAGGGTTTGCAATGTTTATAATAACGTTATATTAAACAAAAAAACAATTTAAATGTGTAAACGTAATGTATAATAAACTATTCATAAATATTTATCAAATTTATAAACTATAATATAATGTATACACCACGGATTATATTATTTATATGTGTGCGAGTATATAAATTCATCCAGTGGCATATTTGGTCATTTGGTGGGAGGAGGGGGGATTGAAACATTTACCCCACCAGCCAGCAACTTGCCAAAAAAAAAAATTGGCTTATATCATAAAAATCACTTAGCCCAACCGGCAACCATTGTGATCTGTAATCTGTATAATGTAAGTAAGTATTACTTGTATAAATACTATAAATGCATGCATCCATTAAAATAAATAATCATATAGGTACTAAATTTAATAAATTTTTAAATTGTACTTTTTCGAGTAGATTCGTGGAATAATCTGCGTAGACGTAAAATACTCAAATTTGCAAACTTTAAATTGTTAGAACTAAGTCCGACCGACTAATAGGTACTGATTGCACCACTGCAGTGCTTAACTCTTTAAACTTGAATTAATATACCTATGTCCTATACTCTATAAGTTTTCGAAACAAATTCCCAAAAATTGAGTTAAACTGCATTATTTTAATATATTTGTGCTATATTACCTTGGGGAATTGGGTTTTATTTGTTGTTTCTATAAAATGGGTGGGGTACATGTCTTCGAATGTCATGTGTTCGAAGGTCATGTTTTCGAATGACGAGTGTTAGAAAAGTTATTTGTTAGAATAGTAATGTAATCGAAAAATATATGTTCGAAAAGACGAAAAGTTGTATGTACGAAAATTATTTATTTAAATTAAAAAGCTATCTAATATTACAAAAATTAATAAACATACGATTAAAAAAAAAAAAAAAATGGAAAAATATACCTATGCAGTAAAAAATCAATAATTAAAAACTTAAATAATATGCAATTGCTTTTAAAAACTCCAATTTACAATATTTTGGATTGTCGATTATTAGCTGTTAAATTGATTGCAATCTCATATTGAGGTCCACACCATATTTATTTTTCTTTATTTGATGACCGGATATTAACATTTCAATCTGTGATTCTGTTTCAGATTGAATTTTTCGCACGATTGTAATAAATTAGTGAAGCCCTGAATAAAATATATGAAATAAAATATTTATAAAAAAAAAATATAAAAATATGATTTTTACCTGGATGAGGAGATGTAAGTCGATTTAACTTTCTATGCCATGATTCAGCTGTATTAGTTGTTCTCGGAAGTTCTGATCTAACACTTTATCTCTCAACATTTTATTCAGGGCTTCACAAATTTATTACAATCGTGCAAAAAATTTATATTATATAATATATATATATTTTTCCAAATATTTTTTTTATTAATTTTATGTTTATTAATTTTTGTAATACTAGATAGCTTTTTAATTTAAATAAATAATTTTCGTACATACAACTTTTCGTCTTTTCGAACAAATAATTTTTCGATTACATTACTATTCGAACAAATAACTTTTCTAACACTCGTCATTCGAAAACATGACCTTCGAACACATGACATTCGAAGATATGACCCGCTCCCCTATAAAATATACTATATTATAGTACAATAGTACCTATATAAATAAGTAGATACATAAATATGGTTTGTCAGTTTAAAAAAAAATAGTCATGGGGGGATACGACACCCAAATCACATCCCCCACCGTAATTATGCCACTTCACAAAACTCCATGAAATATTATAGTTCTAGGTATAAAACTTCGTATGCAGATAAACAATATACAAATGCATATTATAATAATTAATAGTTTAATAATAACAAACCTATAGCTTGACACGCATTGACAGCAGCATTGTTGATTGTTACTGTGTCGGTTTTTTTTATTATTTTCAGTATAAAGTTTCTCTACAATATTACAAACTTTACATTTAAAATAAAAAACAGATTGAAATCCTTTTATAATTTTAGACTGATACTCCATATCTGTAAATGAGCAACCGAATGCAATATCATGTTTTTTTTGGATTTGACTTATAAAATACAAAATATCGACAATTCTTCTTCCTTCTAGTTTTCTAAAAACAAATAGTTAAATTTATTAAACTACTGTTTTTAAATTTATGAAATTATTAAAAATTAATTAATATAATATGCATATAAATATATAATAATATACTCTGAAACTATTGTATTGATTGATTCATCTGATTCTATGCACAGCTCATGGTCAATAATCGAATTCATCGATAAAGATGTGCCAAATGATGAACTAGATTAGTTTTTTGTGCTCGATAAAATTGACCCGATTGCTACTTTTGGAGTACTAGTCATTATTTCTACTGATTCACTAAAAACAACAGAAATTATTCTGTCAACATTTTTATATCGTTTTTCAAGCTTTTGATCTTTTATACTCTCAAACAGTTATTATTTTATCACATTTTACTTGACAATTTTTACAAATATTTTTCACGTACCTACAAACAAGCATGTCATTAGAAGTCAAATCATCTGTTTCCATACTTAAATTGTTTTCAATAATTTCAGTTTTTTCAACATCTACATACGTCGATTGTTTCCTAAAAAATAAAATATACCTACCTATAATAGTGTTATTTCTATATTTTAAAATTAAGTATAGTGTAAAATTATATAATTATTTTAAATATATAAAAAACGAACTTAACCATTTAAAAATTAAAAATCAAAATAGTTGACTTACATTTTTAACTGTACATTTTTCATACGTTGACTCAAAACTTTCTTCCCAATAGGTCTACTTTTTGCTCGTACTTTTTTTGGTGACATTGTAAAATATTTATGATAACAAATATAAAAATTAAAAATTACCGTTTCACATATGAAAGTATAAAATACACTATAAAGTAAATAAATTATTCAAAAATCACTAAAATCTAAACAACCCATATAATGTATAAATATCGAATATGACGTATAATGTCCACTAGACACATCCATCCACCAACTGACATTATATTATCAACTTATTCATTTGTAAGCCTTTTACTCGTCATTCCATTATTTACATTATTGTTATTATTTTTAAATCATACGCGGTCAATAATCGTAATTTTATAAATAATAATATGTTTGCTTATAGACAACCGTGAACCGTGGTCATTCACAAATTCCCGTTTGTGTAAGTCGATAACGTCGACTATTGTAAAACTATTATTGCTGTTATTATTATAAATATGAAATTGCGTATTCGCGTCGCCGTCTTTCCGAGAACATATTATTGTTATATTGGGCAGCGCCGCATCGGCGTGCGCGTTGGAGTGGGAGAAATCATATTCGCTTTCGCAACTACCGTAGGTCGCAGCACATTACAGCCAAAATATACAATTTATTTTTGCATAAAAGCTGTCTGGCGCGGAAAAGAACCGAGAATAGTACAGTGATAACTAAGAATCCAATTTTTCACCATCGACAGAGGAGAATTTTAACTGTGTCGTAGCGTTTTTATTTTTTCGATAAGACCAATATAACAAAAGTTATTTAAGTTTGTAAAACGTAAAAATATCTGATTTTTTAAACTATTATAACTTTTTTCTTATTAAGGATATCAAAAAAATAAAAACGCTACGACGCAGAAAATATTATCTTCTATATTGTACCTATATGAATTTGGTGTCTCTACTAGAATTACAGACTGAGTTGATCTTACCCGCGAAAAACAGTTTTTATATACAATTTACAGACGTGTGGCGTCATCTTAAGGACTATATTCAAAATATATTTAAATATTAAATGTAGGTACCTACCTACCTACCTTACGAAAATAAGACACTGTAAAGTTATAATTCATTATCAGATGTGTTTATGGCGTTTTCAACTATTTTAACCATCAGTATAATAATTAGTGGGTAATTACTAAGCAGTAAGCATATCTATAGTAGACAGTTCTCTGACTTGTAGTGTACCTACCGTTATGTAGTGCTCACGTTCAATAAACATTATTGTAATAAAAGGTCTAAGTTGTGTTTAACTTAGTTGTATTTATCATACAGACATATTCATTAATCATAATACATTACAACACCAACTAACAAAAGTGTATATTATATTATTTACAATTGAAGGGTGGGAGGGAATAACGTGCTAGGTAACAATTCGTAAATGTTCAGGAACAACTAAAAAAGAAAACTGTATTATACATTTTTTTTAATGTTATTTGGAACGCACGTAGAACGTTCTTCCATATTCGACTATAACTAGTGTTTGAAAATTTCATGAAATTTAAAAAAATGAAATATTTCGTGAAATATTTCAAAATATGTGAAATATTTCAGTATTTTAATATATTTTGTTTTATTTTTAAATAAGTTTTATATTTACATATAATTGTCATAAATTACCTTCATCACTATATGGTACCTGTATGTATACCGAACCTTTGGTATTATACATTTAAATTGGTATTCAAAATTTTTAAATATTTTAATGTTTAAATGATACAAGTAGGTATACAATATTATACATGTATATTGTATACTTACTGAATTCTGACATTAGAATTTAGAACACTGAACATTGTGTTAAAAAAATAAATAAATTGTGTTTTTATTTGTGTTAAAAAAAATTTCAATGTTTCACGTTTTTGTGAAATATTTCACAACTTAGTGAAATATTTCAAAATGAAATATTTCTCATACTTCAAACCCTAACTATAACACTCTACAATATTTTATTATTATTTTTATTTGTGTAGATACTGTATTCATTTCACTCAAACAAAATTATATCATAAATACTAATATTAATAAAACATATTATTTTATTACTAAAAATCACATTATTTTTTTTTACATATTTTAAAATTAATACAATATAATATTATCCTGGTATTTTATTACCCTTTAAAAAACCACATAATTATTTTTACATATTTTAAAATTAATACAATATATTATCCAGGTAATGATGTATAGAAGTCACTGTATTGTTGAGGCATATACTTGCACATGTCTAAAAGATCTTTTTTTTTTTCTTTTGTTAAGGCCACTGGGAATTCGTAGGCTGGTGGTAAATCTTTAATAGATAAAGTATTATCTTTAAAGTTGTTTTGACGTATTTGATGTAATGTCCAAGGTCTCAGTGTATTGTGACTTTCACGAATATTTACATGCTTAGGAGCATCAGCTGTCAATTTCAACCACATTGCTTGTGTTATTTTTAGATTTTTTTTTGTAATATCTTGCTCTAAAATCTTAAAAATCATTTTGAGACATTTCTATAATACGAAATGGTTTTTCTAATCTTGCATTAGCTATAACATATTTCCATTGTGACGGTACAAGTACTTTTGCTGTTTTTTTTTGTTTTTCAATTAAAGCGAAATCACGGTCACATGGTAAAAAACTATGGCCAGTCGAAAGAAATTTTTGATTAATTTCTGTAAAATACTTGCAAAATATTAGATAGGAATACATGTTTAATATTCGCCAGTTATTATTTTGACCGACACATCTATCAGACCATATTATCAATTTCCTCTCTTCGCCATGTCCAAGAATATCGTAATTATTTTCGATATAATTTAAAATACACGAAGCTATTTCTAATGAGCCTCTTTTAGCGATACATTCATACCACAAATGCATAGAAACTTCATTATTACCTACGTTATGAATTGCTAAATTATAGTTGGAAAGTTGTCTCTGATAAAACATGTTAGAATGTGTAAGAGTTGGGCAAAATAATACTTGCTGTAGATCAACGCAAAGCACTACAATAGAGCTATTGAGTTTACCGATGTCTGTATCTTTTTTAAGGGCATCATAAGATTGCTCAGCTTTGGAATGATGCAACTTACTATCAATTTCTATTTTTTTCTTTCTTCCTCTGTATCAGCTGCCACTAATTTATTATAAAAAAAAATCACACTGTTTGCATGTATCTGAACGCGGATAGCCGAAACGTTATTTAAAGTCTGACCGAAAAAAAATTCTATAGATACGTTTACTGACATTTATATCTGGATATTTATTTTTAAACGATCGATAAAGCTTACACAAATTTAAGTCTGAACTCAAACATTGCAGGTTATCTGTAGCGATACGGCTGTAATGAGACGGTTGTCGAGGTAAACTATTTATGTGTTGTCTAATTAAATCTCTTACAGGGGCATCAATAGCATGAGGTCTATTTAAATGTTTTCCACGGTTATCCCTAGGTGTAATAATACCTAATTTAATTTTATCTTGTAGCGTCATAACACGTCTTCTTGTAATACCAAACGTATTTAAAAGAGTATTTTTGCATACCTGTAAATCATCTATGTAATATTTAAATGAACAAAATCGTCGTGATGTAGCATCTGTTTTTCCTGGTCGTCTTCTCACAGGAGCATTTACTTTTATACACTTATACAAAAAAAGCTGATTGTTCATCATACGTTAACATATAAAATTCGTCAAATAATAAAAGTTTTCTTGCTAAAGTCATTGTTGCACAACCTTGCCAAGGACATGAACTCTGGTCACAAACTTGATCCTAAAATTTTTAAAAATGTGTATAAAATATTTTTCATCATTATGTTTATTTTACTACATTCATAACATTTTTACTAACCACGGTTGGAGGTGTTTTAGCTGGTACAAGCTTTTTACTCTGAGATGTATATTCCTTCCCACTATTTCGAAGAGTTTTGTTTTTTACATTTTTCCAATCTGTCATATTGATTTTCCGTTTTCGTCCATCACTTAAACGGTTAACATCACTAGTAGATAAATTATTTAGACTTGTCATAGTTAAATTGGTAACACAATCTTGATATTCGCACGTCTCGCGTCGCGTTGACTTACTGTGAATACCTAGTAAACGCTTAACGCACATAGCACGTTTTAATAGTCAACTAATCGCCGGTTTCGAAGTATATACACGATGATTGTGTACGATAAAAACATTCTGGGAATTTTTCGATTCTTAAAATATATCGAGATTGCTTCATAGCACGTTATTCCGCAAAAACATGAAAATTGAAAAAATGTTACATAGCACGTTATTCCCGCCCACCCTTCAATTATATTATAAAAAAAATAGTTTTAAAGGAGTTTAACTCACTCACATGGTGTATGACTTAAACGACTGTTCGTACACTTGTAAGTATATATAGTGTACTATATATCGTGTTAGTTATGAAATTAATAGTGTAACATGTGAACCCTGCTTTCAACAGTTACAGCTATACTATACTTAAAAAATTACCTATATTTACATTTTTGTTCTATACAAAAAAAAAAAAAAAATGGAAAATAATGGTACAAAATAAAATTTGAATGTTTATTTAATATAAAAATCATATTATAGAAGTAGTTATTAGAAAAATTGAAAACAGTGAACATTATGACCAAATACGTAGAGTTGAACTGAAATTCGCTTTTGCACAATTAATGGACAACGCTTTGGGTGCAACAATTCGGCACAATTACCACATAATGCTTTATGGCCACGTGGGATCAAGGAATGTGTTCTTTCGAAATCTTTGCACACTACACATATATTGCTGTTTGGTGGAAAAGGAAGATTTATAGGTTCTTGCACAAAAGGAATATTTTGTATCTCTACTTCTCGTCTCCGATTATCTATTTCCATCATGTTGACCATATCCGGATCTAATTCTTCCTCAAGTATAAAATCATCTTCATTCCCTAATAAAAATAACCATATTAATATATTATCAAACAAACTGTATCATATATATATAATTTTATTTATAATAAAAAATACCAAAACTAACTAAATCAGCGATTCTCATTTTTTTTTTTTTGCATACCATTCATGTGCATTGTGCATTATGTATCGACCATGTACCACTAATTATTAAAAACAGAACTATTCAAAATGTTCAATACATTTTTAACAATAACAATTTAGGTACATTTAATAGTATATTAAGTACCTATCTAAACGAAACATAAATTAACATTAGATCCGTCACAAGTATTAACTTATTGCTGCCGCACACTCCCACATACCACCATGTAGCTTTCTGCGTACCATAGTTTGAGAATCGCTGAAATTAATCATATGAAAATATCTTATAATTAGCCTGTGCAGGTGAATTACTTATCACAGCTTGCACATGTCTGGTAATAAATAAATCTCCACTACCATCAGAATCCTCAGCTACTTGATTATTGTCTTCAGTGCCTGATAGACTATCATCTCCATCCGATTGTGTGAGATCAGTTAATAAGTTTGATTTTAATTTTTAATTAATGTGTACTTAAGAATATTAATTTGATTCAGATATATTTAAAATTTAAACATTAGTTACCAAAATTTACAACGGGGTGAATAATATCTTCAGCGACTGATACATTATCATCTCCATCCGATTGTGTGAGATCAGTTAATAAGTTTGATTTTAATTTTTAATTAATGTGTGCTTAAGAATATTAATTTGATTCAGATATATTTAAAATTTAAACATTAGTTACCAAAATTTACAACGGGGTGAACGATATCTTCAGCGACTGATACACTATCATCTCCATCCGATTGTGTGAGATCATCTAATGAGTTTAATTGTAATTAAAATGTATGAATACATGTTTTCTTAAATAATGTAAAAATAAATTATTATCTACCATTATCAACTATAAGGTTAGGTTCGACAAGAGTGTACCAGTTTAATTCTTCTCAAATATAAGTCTCTGCGGTATAGGAACATTGAACTAAAAAATCAGACACATTAATTGTTCCTAGATTTAATTGTGCAGTTGCAATTTTTATGCGTTCTGAATTGGCAATGTATTTTATTTTAACTGGTCTGGATACTTTTTGACCTCGACTCAATTGTGCAATGGTAATGTGGTTTTTTAAACTTAGTTCATTCAAATGTTCTGAAAAGAAACAGAGTAGTTTTAATTAATAATAACATCCAAAACACTAGAGCATAGTGTACACTTTTAGTAGTGACTATTTTAAATCGCTACAGTCACATTATTCTGACTAAAAACCATTTTAGATTCTAAGCGGAGAAGGGCATACTTAAAAATGTCCATAGGTTTGGATGGGAAGTCTGAAATTTTTCTTTTAAACGTCCATGGAAATGTTCAACATTGTTATTTGTTCTCCTAGCGATTCCATGAACAGAAAATGTTTCTGGGCCTACTGTCCGTAACCAAAAGCTAAGACATAGTTCAATTTAAAGTGTCTAAAAATGATCACAATTCATGATTAAATTTGTATGGCCATCTACCTGTTAAAGTAATTGAAGAATGGAGTTAGTTGTAAATTATTATTCCTTGCATGTTGCCTTATACATTGATAGCCTTCTTCAATTAGATTTGCTGGAAGAAGTGCCAATGTGGCAAACATTTTTACACAGATGCCTCATAAGAGTTTTTTTAAATAGGTTGTTAGTCCTTTTCGTCGAATGTTTCTCATTAAACTCTAAATACAAATATATGATTAAATACATATCTATTCAGTAATGGAACAAAGTTATTTAAAGCCACTCTTTAAATTAACAAAATTGTAAAGAACAATTATTTATATCCAACAAAAAATAATTTAAAACATATTTAAAAAAAAAAAATACACAATACCTACGTCAACAGATAATATTGGGGAACCTTATAAGAGTTATAAATACTTAAAATACACAATAATAAATAGGTGTATAGTATATTTTGTAAAATTATAACAAGTATGCAACTCAGATTATCTACCGACTGTCTTAAAAGATTTTTATGCACTAAAAAGTATCAAAATACTCCATATGATATGCAGTCAAAATCGTGAAAATATTCAAGAAAAAAAACTTTAAATTAAGTAATATGGTAAAAAACTCATAATTTTTATTTGCTTATAAATTTATGACTTAAAATAATTTGAAACAAATTAAACAACTTATAACTATAGGTATCTACTATATCTACCTAATCAAAAAATAATTTTTAATTTTACAATTTATAATTTTATTTTATTAAAATTAATGGACAATAATTTTTTTAAATTTTCAGTTTTTTCAAAACATGCACAAATATGCAAAAACCATAACACATGCAGTAATATGCAAAAATAAATTTACATTAGCTTCAACTATTAAAATTCACAAAGATAACCAACAAAAATCCCAAAAATGTGAAAAGGAAAAAATAAGCAATTGCATAAAAATCCGCGCTCTTTATTAATAATAAGAAATAAACT